GACCCCTGTGAAAGGGTCATTCAACCCCCAAAGGGGTTGCGACCCACAGGTTGAGAACCGCTGCCCTAGAGGGTCAGCCAAGTTTCCACATTAATTAGAAAGTCACGACTATGTATGAAAGATATTTTAAACACGCTGGAGGCAGTTAACATTAACAAGGGGACACCCACTTTCAAATACAACCTATTAGAGAAAAATGGGTTAATGGATAACTGGTATGAGACCCCCAACTAGCCATTTGAAAAATATAAAACGGCATCCCTACCTCATTTTTTATATCAAAATGAATTCCAAGAAGACCAAAAATTTAAGTATAGAAACATGAAACTTCTATTTTTTAATTTGTTTAACAAAAATTTTATATAAAGCTTATTTTTGTGCTAGGCACTATTCTAACATAAAGTAAAACACAACTTGATTTCTTAAGAATCTTCAAGTGTGAAAAACCTTTCTAACAAGATTTCATAAAACCTCAGAAGCCACAAAACTTGAGGGATTTGATTCGGTGAAAATGCAAAACTCCTAGATGATGACAATACCACAAACAAAGCCAAAATACAAATAACAAACCCGAAAAAATAGTTCCCATAGATCTGTTGGACAAAGGTCTAAAACCCTAATTAATAAAGGACATGTATAAAATCAGTAAAAACAAAAGGAAACATTAGTATCCCAATAGAAAAGTGGGCTAAGAATGTGAATAAGCAGCTCAGGAAAATGATAAAGAAAACCAAACAGTTGTTTGTAGTTTAAAGATGCAAAGCAAAACAGAATGGTACCATTTGATGTCTCAATTTCCTAAAACCACACAAGTTTTAATGTTCCGGGCCAGTAAGCTGGGAGGGTAGGGGGCACGGGCCCCCCTCACGCAGTGAAGGTGGAGATGCCCCCTCCCTGAGTGCCAATTTTGCAGTCTCTCGACAACTTTTAAATACACCAAAGAGTCTCAACAAATTTTCTGCAAGGGATTTCCCTAAGGATACTCTTGAAAGAACCTAGAAATTCTAAGAGCATGCTGCTCATGTAGAATTGTTTGAAACAACAGCAGCAACAAAAATAGAAACAATGTAAATGTTCATCAGTAGAGGCCTGACCTGGCAGAGAATCCCCTGTAGCATCCACACAACAGAGGAAGCTGACCACCTTTACAGGGATGGCAGAGATATCCTCAATAAGATGCAACCAGGCATGACCTCTGCAGGCAGCCATAGAAAAGAAGAGCGATACAATAGTTTGAATTTTAAAAGGAAGATGGATAGGCTAACACAGAGTTGCAAAGGAACTAAAAATGTAATAACCAAAATTCAACATCCGTTCATGATTTAAAAAAAACAAAACCCTTTAACAAACTAGAAATGAAAAGGAACACTCTTAATCTGAGTATCTCAGAAAACTCAAAGAAAACACCACCTATAATGATAAAATATTGAACTTCTTATCAGTGAGATTAGGAATGAGACAAGGATGCCACTGCCATCACTTCCATTCAACATTTACTGCCAACGCAATAAGGCAAAAAAGAAAGAAAGAAAAAAGAAAGAAAGAAAGAAAAGTATTGTAGAGCCAAATGTGAAAGGCAAAACAATAAAGCTTTTAGGAAAAAAAATTAAAAAGAATATCATCATAACCTAGGAATAGCAAAGGTTTCTTAAAAATAACCACAAAAGGAAATTAATGATAAATTAAACTACATTAAGACTAAGAAGTTCTGTTTATCAAGACTCCATTAAGAAAATAAAAAGGTAACCCACAAAATGAAAGAAAATATTTGCAATGCTTGTATTCAACAAAAAAATTTTATCCAGAATATATAAGTAATTCATAACAAATTAATAAGAAAAAGACAGATAACACAATAGAAAATTTGACTAAAGATTTAAACAGGTACTTCACTCACAAAAAAAGATATCTAAATGGCCAATAAACATTTGAAAAAGTGCTCAGTCTCATTAGTCGACAGGGAAATGCAAAGTAAACCCACAATGCAAAACCACTAAACAGTCACAAAAGTAAACTCGAAAATACCAAGCATTGGCAAGACTTTGGAGCAACTAAAACTTCTAACTGCTGATGGGAATGTAGGTTGACAAAATCTCTTTTAAAAAATCGTTTAGCAGAATATGCCAAATCTGAAAATATGCGTACCTATGACCAGTAATGTTATTCCTTGTATAATCAATAGGAAAATCCATTTATATATTCACCAAAGAAAAGTACAGAATGTTCATGGCAGCATTAAAAAAGTGAAAACTACCCAGATGCTCACCAACAGAAAAATAAATCAATAAATTGTGTGTATCCATACAATGAGCTACTACACAGCAATGAAGATGAACAAATTAAACTACACAGAAAAATATGAGTAAATGAAATGCTGAGTGAAAAAAGTAAAATATACAGGCCCAACCACCTGTAAATTTTAGGCTTTCCAAAGGAAATATCTGGTTAAAGAAGAAATCAAAGTTACAGATATTTTTGGCAGCAAATATATAATAACCAGTTAATGCATGCAATATGTAAAGAGTTCTTTCAAACCAATAAGATGCCATGAATAAAAAATAGGCAAAGAAAAGGGACAGGGGGAAAAAAATCACAAAAGAACATAAATATACAACAAGTGTAATGGGAAAATACCCTAATGGGATAGCATAAAATGCAAAAGAAGATAAGACAAAATTGCCATTCACCTTTCAAATGACAAAGGTTTTGTAATTGGCGAGAATGCAGTAAATAGGCATTTTACTAAACTGTAAAATATTAGTATAAATTGTACAAACTTGCTGGAGAGTCATTTCATAATGTGTGTCAAAAACCTTAAAAGTATTGAAAAACCCTTGTAGGCATTTATATGAAAGAAATAATCAAAGATATACAGATATTTCTTTCAAGGATGCTCATCCTAGCATCTTGTATAACCTGAATGAGATTTGATGAGGGAAACGTGTTCAGGTTAAGGCAATTTGATCATTATTTCCTTCCTTCTGTGGCCTTTGGGTTGCAGAACTCAATGGTGTTCTATTGCTTAACTTGGCTAATAAGATGCCACTAGTTTGGGACTGCAGATATGCAGCAACCAAGGTTAGGCCAAGGTTAAGGCTGAAATGGGTGAAGGTCATTATAAATACAGGCTATCTAAAGACTACCCCTTACCATGCTCCCATCCCTTCTTTTTCTTTTACAACTTTCTTGGCACATTCAATGGTCTTCTTTAAATATGGATCCAATAAATCTGTGAAGAAAATAAAGCAGACTGATACCATACCAGCACCTGGCAGCTGAGTGAGAGCATGTCAGGGAAGGTCTAAGGTGCTCCATTAGAGAGGCGTCCATGTGATTCCAAAAATAAAACTACCCCTAAATTTTTCCCAGGCAATCCTGAGAGGCAGCAGGATGTGGTCATGTTTTACTAAATCTAAATCTATTGATGTTTTTTCGGGGGATGAGGTTGGGTGTGGGGGGGTGCTAGGACAGGGGGACCTACCAGAACAGGACACGTGGCAGAGGTTCCTGCCCCTGTCGCACCAATCATTGTTGCGAATCTGAAAGAGGCCGAAGCCCATGTAGGCCTCATGCACATTCTCGTAGACAGCCTCAGGGTTGAACTTGCTCTCAAAGTAAGCCAGGCACACCCCTAAGACGGAACAGGAGGTGTGTGGCTCAGAGGAAGGCTGGAGTTGGGGGTGCCTGGGCAAGGCATGGAGGGAAAGGTGAGGAAAGAAAGGGCTGAGAGGGGCCTACTCACAGTTTTCAAGGCTATAGCCCTCAAAATCACTCAGGCCTCCGTCCTTAAGCCGCTTTGCCACCACGCAGCGCCCCAAGATGGCAGCATCACTTGGAACCATCAGGTAGCCAAGGAGGGCGAGAACCAGGGACACCTTCATCTTCTCCAGACTCCTGACAGCTCAGGGCGGCAGCGGCCGGGTGAGTGGGTGGAGTCACAGATAATTTCTACCAAGATCCCGGGGACACTGGTTCCTCTGAAGGAAGAGAAGGGCGCTGTGGGGGTGGGGAGTGCAAGTCAGTGTGTTCAGAAAAATGGGAGTCCTGCCTGGCTCAACCATGACACTTCTTCTCACCCTTTCTCTGTTTTGAGTTACTGCAAACCCAAGACGCCTGAGGCCACCTCACCTCCTCTTCTTGACCTCTTTTCTAAGGAAATTGCTCTTTTGAAAGTCTCCTTCCCACACACACCCATTCTTTCCCTTCAGGAAAGCCCAATGGCTTCTTCTTGGTTTTTCTTCTCGCACATTTCTCTTTCACATTAGATGAAGATGCTCGAATCCTTTCTTCCCCTTTATTGTGGAAGTGGAACTTGTTGGTTAAATACATTTCGGAAAACAGAAAAAGAGAGAGAAGAAATTCGCCATGGTCCCACCACTCGAGCACAACCACTACAGACATATTGCCTTTTATCCTGGAACACATTCTGAGCTGTGGCCTTCCCCTTTACACAGACGGGTCCTCAGATGTTCTGCAAACCAAACTCCACACAGACAGATAAACGCTGATCTAGCCCCTGAGCACCAATCCAGCCTCATTTCACGCCTCCCCCGTTGCTCACCCTCACACCACCACATTCACCTTGCACATTTTCCTTTGAACACGCCCATCTCGTTCCTACCACAGGTCCTTTGCACATGCTATTTATTCTGCCTGGAACATGATTCTCCCCAACCACCACATAGCTTCCACTTTCTGGTCATGGTCTCAGCTCAGATGAGCTCACCACCTCAAATAGGGTTCCCTGACCACTACCCATCATAGAAAATCGTTTTTATTTTCTTCATAAGTCAATTTCAGAAATTACCTTGATCATTTATTTATTCACTTGTCTATCTCCCATAGCAGAATGTAAGTACCAGGGATGCAGAAAGCTGTTCTGTTTTGTTCTCTGTTTTACCCCCAGAACTTAGGACAGAGCCGGGGGCACAGTAGGTGCTCAATGAAACTCTCTCAAGTGAATGAATGAGCAAAAACCTACTCTTCCCAAGAGAACTGTCATCAGATGGGCAATAAGTGAATTTGCCGATGAGTGTCTCCTGCAGCTGGCTGCCGTCACACCTGTCCTGGTTCCTGCCCACCATATACCTGCTTACCAGCCTGCCTGCCAGTTCTGCAGGTCGTGGAGCCGCCTCACGTATGGGACGAACAGCCACTGCGGCAGCTTCAATATTCGTTACAGGAAAAGCTGCTCTCTCTCCGCTCAGTCCCCTGGGTTCTTCAGGTGCCACCTCCTTGATAACCCGTTTGCCTAACTCAAGAGCTTCTAAGCCATGAATCCTCCATGGCCCACTTTTCTAGAATCCTTTCTGTGACATCAGTTGCTAGACACCAGAATATTCTGAAGCAGGGAGGGGGGTCTGTCAGCATCACATTTGTATCAGTTTTCTGTTGCTGCTGTAATAAGTCACCTCACACTTTGCAGCTTAAACTACACAAATGTATTGCCTTATTCTGTAGGTCTGAAGTCTGGCATCAGACTCTCTGGTTGAAAATCAAGATGTTGGCAGAGCTGCGCTCCTTCCAGGGGGTAAAATGTCATGGAGTTTGCCGTCAACTCTCAGACAATTTGGTAAAAAAAAAAAAAAAAAAAAAAAAGAGTATATATATATATATATATATATATATTGAGAGAGAGACAGGAGCAGGAGTGGAAGGATGCTCACAGCCAGAAAACCTGGTGAGGGGCCTACAGGTGTTCATTACACCACCCCTTTAACTTGAAAAGTAAGCTAATTTTTGAAGAATCTAAAAACAAACTGGGGCTCTAAAGTCAGACAGTCCTGGTTCTGCTACGTGCTAGCTATGTGACCTTGAGAACATAATTTATAACCTTTAGCTTAATTCTTCATCTGTAAAATGGGGATAATAACAAGATCTGCCCCATAGGCTTATTGGGAGAACTGAGATAAATATATGTAGAATGCTTAACACCGGGCCTGGCACATAGTAGGTGCTCAATAAACCGTGCTCTGAATATTAAAATGAGGAGGAGGAGAAGAAGGGGAAGGGTGGGAGGAGGAGGAGCAAAAAGAGAGGAAGGAGGAAGAGGAGGAGGAAGTGAAGGGGAAGGAGCAGGAGTGAAATGGGGGAGGGGAACTGCCTCCCCTTGCCCTCCTCCGGCCAATGGGATTCCAGACGAGAACAAAAAGGAAAGGCGGATGCTGCCAGGAGAGGAGGGCGAAGTCTCCCCTAGGCAGGACCGTCTAGACTTAGGGAAAGGTTTTGTCTCAAAGCTCGCAGGGTAAGTTGACTAATATCCTGAGTTATAAAGGCTAAGACGTTAACTGCCACCACACTGACCTCCCAACTCCCAGCTTTTCCTGGGAAATACCAGAGTTAGTTAGTGTCAGCCTCGGGACCACTGGCTGCTCCTCTGCCATTCCCCAGGCCTGGTGACCCAGAGGAAAACATCCATCATTTGCCTCCTTGGTCCCGAGTCTTCCAGCGAAGTTGCTGGGATCTCTGCTCCCACAGGTGGAGAACACCTGAATATACGTGAAGGCTGCCTTCAGCTCCAAAATGTAGACATGTGTGCATCAGGCGATGCTGCCAGGTGTTTCACTGCAGTTTTGGGTTTTTTACAGGATCATTTGTCAACTATAATACAACAGTGAAATAGATGTGGCTGGTTCAAGTCCTAAGTCCCTTACAGGAGCCAGGAGCCCCAAAGTGGGGCCTGGCTCAGCCGCTTCTGACTCAGGGGTGGGGAGCCAGCACTGAATCCCTGCATCTCCCTTGCCCTCGTTTGCGCCTCAGGACGCCCCAGCCCTTGGCCCTAGCTGCAGTTCTCCTGAGTCTTCCCCCAACAGATGGATCTCCATCTGCTCTGCAGACATGACCAGATAACACAGTCTATAATTACATTTATATCTGTGTCAATAACTGCATCTATACTGCGTCTGCAAAAAAAAAAAAATGCCTGGAGACAAGACCAGTTGCTGGCCAGCCAATCCCACAGACACTCAGACACATCAAGGCTGACCTTCCCTCTGAAACGATCCAGTGTACCTGTGTTCAAAATCGTTTCTTGCAGTGGAGCCCCCTGATGAAAAGCAAACTCATGCAGAAGCCCTCACTGCTAGCTCACCTTCCTTGCTTCCTTTGCAGGTGACCCACAAGAGCCATACTGGGGCTTGAGGGTGATGCATCCAGTTCATCGCGTTGTTCATACCTGAGCAAAACAGAAACAATACCAGCCGGACTCAGGGCTTCTGAGACCCACAGAAAGAGAGCTGGGAATACATTTTTGGTCATCCAGCCAAAGCCACCCCTCCCAAAAGAACCCTCATAGTGTTTTGGGCAGAGACCCCTGGATTGCAAAGAAGGTGGGACTTGCCCCTGGCGTCTGGGTGGGCGTATGATCCAGTTCTGGCCTGTAGGAATGTAAGAGGAAGGGGATTGAGGAGAGGGGATTTCTGAGGATGGTTTTTCCCCTGGGTGAGAGGCAAAGAAGGCCTCTGCTTCCCCTTGAACTCAGCTCTTCAAGGCATGATCTTTGGAGTTGCTGCTGCCACTTTTTTTTTTTTTGACATGAGGGCACCTAGAGAATGGCACTGATGCCAGCTTCAAGCCTGACCCCATGATCCCTGAATCAATATCAGCAGCTGCCCACCTCCAGACTCCTTATGCAAGAAGCACAAAGCTCTGTGGCATGACCCCCCTTTAGTCACGAATTGTACTTGCTGCTGAAAGCACCTCGAACTGATTCAAGGGATTTGTGTAAATCTGCCACACATTTATTTTCAAATCCAAGCATTTTTAGCCGTGGTGTTGCTTGCCTCGTTTAAAAATATTCAATTTCCTCTGAATTGACATCGGAAAGAAAACAGCCCCACTTTTGTGTACTCATTGAGTGCTGGTCTGAGGCTAAGTGTGCTCGTGGCCTTGAGAAAGGGGGTGGGAAGTGGCGGGTTTTTCTTTTATGCACACTCTCCTTGTCACCTGCATCATGACAAAGCCTCCCTTGGCTACCCACAATGAACCGAAATGGAAGGAGAAAGATGTCAGGCTGTGCTGAGAGAAATGCTGAGCAGGGAGCAGGCGGGGACTCATCACGACCGACTGGGTTGGCGTGGTCCAGGGGGCTTATGAGCCCACATCACAAAGGGGATGAGAAAAACCAGCAGGAACCACCTCCCACCAAGGACCCTCCACAAAGAAGGGAGGCTGAAAGGCAGGGAGCCATCAGGCTTGTGAAAGGAAAGGATATCACCGCAGACCTGTGTGGTTGTGGCGGGGTGACCAACCGTCCCCATTTGTCTGGGGCTGAGGGGTTTCAAGGGATGCAGGACTTTCAGTGTTAAAACTGGGAACGTTCTGGTTGAGGAGCCTCTAAATGTTGTTGCTTGAACGCATAAGTTACACATGAGATGGAGCCACACCCCCTCAACCCTCCCACCCCCACCACAGGTGAAAATAAGCAGCAGAGCTAGCCCGGCCTGTGGTCTGGCGGATTCAGGCTCAGTTGTCTTCAGTTACCCTGTAAGATCTGCGTGAACAGAAAGCAATGAATAAATAAATAAATAAACAAATAAATTAACTAATGGCTCCAACAGAATAATTGCTTATATTTATACGACAGTTCTGTTTCCAACGCAATTATTTTCCTTTGACTAACATACATGTTTCATCAATTAACAAACACTGGTGAATCCACTCCCTTCCACTACTGGGCCCCGTGGCGCAAAGGAAATCCACTGGAAGCCAGGAATCAAAAAAATCGCATTCACGTGCATTTCATACCTGTACCGTTCTGTTTGAAGGAATTTGCTTTCCATTGGAGGAGTCGTGAGCACAGAAAAGATGAGTTACCATCAAGAAGCCTGTGCCCAGTGCCAAAGAAGAGGGGCCCATGGGAAGTGCTGTGGAGACAACCACATGGTGTTGAGATGGCAATGACCTTTCCTGTGGCCCAGGCTCTGGGGGCATGGCTCATACAGGTCAGCTCGTTTTGTGCTCCTGATAGCTCTGAGAAGTGGGTGCTCTTCTCACCTCCATCTTAGAAAGGGGGACCTAACACTTGCAGGGTGTAGGTGACCTGCCGAGGTCACATGGATAGTCTGTGGTGGGTCTCACGTCTGTCTGGCTCCACAGGCCACCCTCTTAAGCCCATGCTCCGCTGCTTCTGTGCTCCAGCGACAGAGGGCCTGGGTAGGTCCTGCCCTGCTGCTTACTAGCTGCGTGACCCAGGACAAACTACTTCGCTCTCCAAACCTCAGCTTCTCTGCCTGCAAAATGGGCATAGAAGTAGTGCTGACCTCACCAGACTGTGGAAAGTTCTAGACCACGGTAAGCTCTCCATGCATGCCAAGGACAAGGGAGGGGATTGTCCAGGAGCGCAGTGCAGAGGTGGCGTGAGCAGGCCAGCTGGGCAGTGAGGAGGGGCGAGCAGACAGAGGCTAAAGCCTGGGGAGTCAGCCCAGCGGTTCTAACCCTGGCTGCACCTCAGAATCACCTGGGGAGTCACAGCCCAACCACATAACCCCGAACACCTGAAAGCGGGACCCAGACCTCAGTATTTCTGCAGCAACCCAGGTGACTCGGATGTGTGGCCAGGGATGAAAGCCATTGGCCTGGCCACTGCTTTTATTTATTTATCTAATTATTTATAATTTTTTAAATTAAATTCGTTGAGGTAACATTGGTTAATAACATTATATAAATTCCAGGAGTACAACATTATAATTCACTATCTGTATCCTCTATTGAGTGTTCACTCCCAAATATCTAGTCTCCTTCCATTACCATATATTTTACCCCCTTTACTCAAACCCCTGCCCCTCTGGTAACCACCATCCTGTTGTATGTGTCTAGGAGTTTGTCTTTGTTTTGTTTCATTCATTCATCTTTTTGTTGTGGTGCTGTATGTCCTACATGTGAGTGAAATCCTGCAGCATGTGTCCTTTTCAGTCTGATTTATTGCACTAAGCATAATACCCACGTGGATGGATCTTGTGGGTATTAGCCCCTTTGCTTTTCCATGTGTGGACCTTGGAGGACCATCCGGACCACGGGGAGCTGGTTAGAAATGAGGATCTCAGGCCCCACCCAGACCTGCTGAATCGGAACCTGCATTTGAACAGGATCCCTGGGCCATTCGTGTGCACGTTAAGGGCTAAGCACCCCTGGGCTGGCCTGTGGGTCCTACAGATGGGAAAAGAAGCAAAATGCCAGGCAGGCTTTGAACCTGATTAAAATCCAAAGTGCGAGTGGGAGGGGGAAATGACGGGCGGCTATTTACACCACTAACCCCATCTCCTGGCAAACGCAAAGGGCACAGGCAGTAGATCTCCCTCTATTTAAACTTCAATGAATCTGCTTGTGGCCTCGCAGGAAGCGAGGGATTCTGCCAGCCGCCCAATGTTTGCTCAGCCGCCGCACGCTATCAGCCGGAGGACTAACGTTGTCTGGTGTGAGCAGCGCACACGCTGGGCCCTGGCCTGGAATTAGCAGAAAGATATTAGCCTGCACGAGGTCTTGGACTCCTTACAGGGAAGTGATCCCTAGGGGGCCTTTCCTCACCCGGAAGGAGCAGCTCTCCACCCCTGGGCATTCAGGGGCTCTGAGGTAGGCTCTGTGGAGAGCAGGCAGTGGCTGGGTGCCCAGAAAGGACATGAGCTTGCCCTCTGTGACAGAGCTTGGAGCAAGCTCTGTTGTGGCCCCAGACATAAGGCTTTCTTGGGAGAAAAAAAGGGGTTTCTAACGTCTAGAACCTGAAGGAGTCATGTGAACTAAATTCTAATCAGTATTTCCTATCTCAGATAATCCCAATGAATTTACCATCATTTGATAAAAGTCAGCTACAAGCAGATCCTACATCTTATATTGAAAGCATTCAAGAAGACAGTTACAAGCATGAAGTCATTTCGGTCTGGTTCTATGCCACCATTATCTCAGGATAACCAACTCTTTGGGTTGGCCTTTGATAATCGAATCAAAGCTATGGACTCTCTTCCTGAAAAATGGACATAAACACAGACTTGCACCTACAACTTCAGGTAATTTACAGACCCCTGAACCACTTGCCAGAGTGTCCTGGATAAGACTGAAGTGGGATGCTGCTGGCTTTGCTGCCCATCATTCAAGCTTTTCCTATTAATGCCACACTTAGTTTCTTTCAGGATCTACCCACTTCCATCCCCTGAGCTCAAGGTTGGAGCCTTGACCTGGAGCTGAGCCACAAAGTGCATCCATTCGCCTGGCTACAGGGATTGGTTCAGGGGTAGGCACGTGGACACTTTCGGCACCAATAACACTCATGAAAATGAAAGGAAAGCTCTTTTCTCTCCCGAGTTGATGTGAAACAGGAAGGCTGGAGCCACAGCGGTGGGAAGCTGGCGGTTGCCATCTTGGGACCACAGGGGAGAGTCATCGTGAGAATGGACCCAACACAAAGTAAACAGAGCCCAGATGTGAAGAGAGAAACTAGGTCGGGAACATAGCATTTGAGCCCTGAGCCATGTCAATCCCTGGACGGTTTAGCAAATGAACCCTGGAAGCCCATACTTACACCAGTGTGACTCACCTGCAACTCTGATACATAATCCTCATGAACTCATTGGATATTTGATGGTTCTTCATGCAGCTGCCAACTAAACAAATAATGTCACTATACGAATGTTCTTGATGACATAACGTTGGCCTTTTTGTTTCAGTAAATCTCTTCATTCCTACACTTTATCCTCAGCTTCTCCAAGACTCCTTTATAAACAACCCCCTTTTGAGACAAGGTTCCTTCACTTACATGTACCAATGATGTTTCTCATGTACCACAGACTTACAAACTGTGATGTCATATCATATCATATTGCAATAAGTGAATTATATCAATCCGATTAAAGCAGGCTAGCCTGAGGCCCAACTTTCGGAAAACTATTTAACAACGTAAGTATTCTGAAATCAAACAATGCATAGTTATCATTGTGACTAAATGCAACTTGAGGTAAGATTATTCTTAGGATTATTCTCAATTCTCAATGACATAGGATTATGTCATTTTTCTCAGATTACAGAACATTGGTTTCTAGCAAACCGGAGCAGGAAGAGGCTTCTGGCAGTCAGATTCCAGGTCCACGTGAATTCCCTTTAGCCCCACGAAAAGGGCTGTGCCTT